ACGGACGCTGGCCCCGGCCTGGCCAGCTCGAGTGTGTGTGTGTGTGTTTGTGCGTTTGTGTGTGCGTGCGTGCGTGCGTGGCAGTGTGTGAGTGTGCTTGTGTGTGTGTGTGCCTGGGGGGGATGGCTGGTGGGCCCACGTATAGAATGAAAGCGGATGGCTTCCGAAAAGGCCACGGAGCCTTCCAAGGTGTCCTCCCTCGAAGCCACCGAGAGCCACTCCCGAAGAAGCCCCCCGCCTCCAACTGAGAGGCCGCCCCCCCGGCCCAACCCGGAGGTCCCGGGGAAGCCCCAGAACGGCCCAGACCGTCTCAACAACTTCGAGGGCCCGATCGTCGAACCTCGACCCCCGATCCTCCTTTCAGAAAGTCAACTATCGGGTTGGGAGGATGGGGTTGGGAGAAATTTCAATTTCATACGTCATATCGCGTATGTTGAAAGTACTGATGGGATTAGCATGTGCATTGCCATTGGCCGTCACATCCTCCAACCCCCCTGCAGCTTGAATTGCCTGCCGATTGCGCTGGTACTTCTGCTTGAAGTTGGGTTGGCCCTTCGCTTTCATATCGCTGGAAACGACGTTCCCGCTCATCGCATTCACGCGTCTCTCTTTCATCGTCAGCAGTTCCTCCTGAAGAACCTTGCTCTGTGCATCATTGGCTGGGCCAAGATGGTGTGGCATTGCCTGTGGGACCCGATCGGCAGCGGTGCTGCACCGCCGGAACCAACGATTCGTGCAGAAGTCATGGCGCAACCCATGAAGAACGGAAGCGGTTCAACGCAGTAGTGATTCCGTATCGCGAACGGGACGCGATAAGGAAATCACAGTTATTTCCGTAGCAGGAACGGAGTGCAGTACGAAACCTGCTTCGGTCCCGCGACCCCCCAAAAGTCGTATCATCACGAGGAAAAAAAATCATTTGTGAATTCCGTATCAGCAATTTATGCACTGGGCAATTGCCAGACTCCTCTGGCATTGCTCATGCTCTTGGTTCATCTCCAGTGTTCGCCGCGTCGCTTCAACACCTGAGATGGTCCAAGACGGCTCTGGGAGCGCCCAGAGCACACGCAAGAGGGCTCTTGGACGGCCCCACCGGAGGCCCGGGCAGGGCTCCAAGAGAGCCCCGGGAGGGCCATGAAGTAATTAGGCAGCAGGGTGCAATCTGCGTTTTTGGGAAGTTCCCAGGAGTCTAAGGTGGCCCAGAGAGGCTCGAAGTAGGCTGCAGGTTGCAACCCGCTCCTCAGGAAGCGTGCGCGGTGTTGTATTGGCGGCCCATGCGCTGCGGTGACAACACGTTTCCCCTTTGCCAGGTGCAGGCGGCCGAAGGTGCCGTTCATTACACCTGGATGTGTTTGCTCATACCCTGCAGTCTCCTAACCCCTTCCAACACGATAATTGTCTTTCTCATCTTCGGGGAGCGATTTGTGGCCACCCGTCCCCGCGCGCGTACCTCGTGATGGATCAGCTTGTTCGCGGGGGTGGTGTATTATGATCGCGCCCCCAGGGGATGCCCATTTACTCCCATCTCCGCGGTCTTGCCCTGGACCAGCTTGTTTGTCGGAGATGGTGTACAGAAGTCGTGTTCCCACGACCCTCGAGGGAGGGAAGAGGAAAGATGAACAAGAAAGGAAGTACATTCCCCATATGTGCACTGTCATGAAGTTGCTGTGTACGTCAGTCAAGCATGGCTGCTCCTACGACCTTGTGCGCGGTCCCAGACCGAGCTCCCGCCTCCCCGCTCCGGGGGGTCAGCTCGTCGCCCCGGATCCGCTTCCGAAGGCCCAGGGGCCCGACCAGTGCTGGCCCCAGAAGGGATCGAGGGAACATCGCCGAGGCTGCACATATCACGCCATTGGAGATCGGGCGGCTGCTGAGGGGGGGTGTTGACCGAAGAATTGCAAAAAAACACCGGATTGCAAAAAAAAAAACAAGATTGCAAAAAAACCCGAAGGATTGCAAAAGAACCCGAAGGATTCCAAAACAACCCTGTTTTTTTTGCAATCCTGGGTTTTTTGTTGCAATCCCTGGTTTTTGTTTTGCAATCCTGGTTTTTTTTGGCAATCCTTCGTTGGGGTGAAAGACAGGGTCCTAAAGGGAACCTTTCGGTGCCTTTTGGGCCCCTGCTGGCTCCAACAGGGAGCCTGCAGGGCCCCGGCGGGTCCTCCTGCAGCGCCCACCCGGGGCGATCCGGGTCTGAGGCTCCCTCCCGCCCCCAGTGCTCCTTGGGCACGATCGAGCTGGAGACGAAAAGGCCGGGGCCGAAGAGCGACAACAGCTCCTGTCCGGCCCCATTCTGGACAGAGCTCGCTGCCGGCGTGGCCGCGGACGTTGCCCGCCTGAGGCAAGCAGCCGCCTGCCCAACAGCGGCCGCTGTCGGTGTTGGACAGCATGTGCTGTTGTGCGTCGTGCCCAGTGTTTCTGTGCCCGCTCGGGCGTGGCAACACCTCCTGCGCGCCGCCGGCATCCGCCCGCGCCGTCGAGTCGCTGCTGTCGCCGCTGCTGGTGCCGGCAAAGGGCCTGCACTCGGTCCCCCGCCCCGTCACCGAGTCGCTGCTGTTCCCGCTGCTGGTCAAGGGGGGCCCGATGGACCGCAGGAGCTCGATGACCAGCGAGACAGCGTGCCCCGAGATCCGTGAGGGGCCTCGGATGGTTTCGTGGGTCCTTGCAGGTTTGGTTGTCTTTGGCCTCTTCCGCGGACGACTTGTCCGTACCGTGACGATGCCGCTTTGACGTCTTTCGGGCAGGTGGTAATGGAGGGTCACTTAAAGGGGGAGAGAAGGGAAGGGCCCCTTTAGGGCCCTTTGCTTCACCCCTTATTTAGGTCTACCACCCGCCCGAGTCGCCTGAAGCGTCGTCGTTCCTCGACCCAAGAACGAATGGTACGGTGCAAGTTTTGCGTCGGCCCCCGGAAGCGGCAAGCTATATGCACCGTACCGCAGCGGAGACGGTCCTAAAGGTTGTCCAGACATTGTAGTACGGCACATGCGGGCCATATGGGCGCTGTTTTCGTATCTCGGGATGCTCTTCGGAAGCTGCGCTTCGCCGCCGAGAGCATTCCGGGGACACCGGAATAGTCCCGAACGCCCGCCAGAGACCCGAGGTACGACATGAAGACCGAGTGGCCCAGATCTCCAGGGATGTTCCTGGATTCCGGCTCCCGGGGGCACACCCGGGGGCCCGCCATCGAGGACATGTTGTGTATCCAGCGCGAGGCATCCACATGTCCCACGTGCCCAGACACTCTCCGACATGATTCCGCAGCACGCGGCTCCAGAGCTTTCCGACTCCTCAGGGACGGTTTTATCGCCCCTCCTCCTCCTCCTCCTCCTCCTCCTCCTCCTCCGACATCGGGCCCCGGAGAAATCCAGGAGCAGACTCGGGGGATCGAGAAACGCACGCGTCTGTTTGGAATGCTGGGCATGCTCCCCAAAAGGACCCGGGTCCTGTGTGTGTCCAGCCCCCTGGCGGTGCGTGCTCCATGCTTTTGCCGTGGGCTTCCCAGGACAGGGCTCCCTTCGACTCCTCCGATCCGACTCGGCTTCGACGGCTTCCCACTCCGATCCGATTCGACCTGGGAGTCCGAGTTGGGCTCCGATGCCTGCCGATGCGACTCCTCCCGACTCGTCTGCCGATCCATGCCGATCGCCGATCCGACTTGTCGATTGGATGCTCGGGTCGCCTGCGCAGGAGCGCCCACGGCCCCGACGGCCAGGTGGAGTGCAAGTACAGCGAGGGGACCCCGACCACCGCCTGCCCGAGCAGCGCGCGCCTGGGCAGCCAGGCCTCCTCCCTTCCTCCTCATCCTCCTCCTCCTCTTCCTCCATCCTCCTCCTCTTCCTCCATCCTCTTCCTCCTCCTCCTCCTCCATCCTCCTCCTCTTCCTGCTCCTCCTCCGCAGGGTTTGTAGATCCCATCCTTCTGGCATCTGTTCAGGCAGGCGTGCACGCCTGGCGCGGGGAGGAGGAGGAAGAGGGTCCTATTCATCCTCCTCGTCCCTCCTCCTCCCCTCTCCCCCGCCTCCTCCTCCTCCTCCTCCTCCTTTATCCTCCTCCTCCTCCTCCTCCTCCTTTCTCCTCCTCCTCTAACCCCCTCCTCCTCCTTCTCATCCTCCTCCTCTTGATCTTGAGTAGTAGTAGTAGTAGTAGTAGTAGTAGTAGTAGTAGTAGTAGTAGTAGTAGTAGTAGTAGTAGTAGTAGTAGTAGTAGTAGTAGTAGTAGTAGTAGTAGTAGTAGTAGTAGTAGTAGTAGTAGTAGTAGTAGTAGTAGTAGTAGTAGTAGTAGTAGTAGTAGTAGTAGTAGTAGTAGTAGTAGTAGTAGTAGTAGTAGTAGTAGTAGTAGTAGTAGTAGTAGTAGTAGTAGTAGTAGTAGTAGTAGTAGTAGTAGTAGTAGTAGTAGTAGTAGTAGTAGTAGTAGTAGTAGTAGTAGTAGTAGTAGTAGTAGTAGTAGTAGTAGTAGTAGTAGTAGTAGTAGTAGTAGTAGTAGTAGTAGTAGTAGTAGTAGTAGTAGTAGTAGTAGTAGTAGTAGTAGTAGTAGTAGTAGTAGTAGTAGTAGTAGTAGTAGTAGTAGTAGTAGTAGTAGTAGTAGTAGTAGTAGTAGTAGTAGTAGTAGTAGTAGTAGTAGTAGTAGTAGTAGTAGTAGTAGTAGTAGTAGTAGTAGTAGTAGTAGTAGTAGTAGTAGTAGTAGTAGTAGTAGTAGTAGTAGTAGTAGTAGTAGTAGTAGTAGTAGTAGTAGTAGTAGTAGTAGTAGTAGTAGTAGTAGTAGTAGTAGTAGTAGTAGTAGTAGTAGTAGTAGTAGTAGTAGTAGTAGTAGTAGTAAGTAGTAGTAGTAGTAGTAGTAGTAGTAGTAGTAGTCGTCGTCGTCGTCGTCGTCGTCGTCGTCGTCGCGTCGTCGTCGTCGTCGTCGTAGTAGTAGTAGTAGTAGTAGTAAGTCGTAGTAGTCGTAGTCGTAGTCGTAGTCGTAGTCGTAGTCGTCGTAGTCGTAGTCGTAGTCGTAGTAGTAGTAGTCGTAGTCGTAGTCGTAGTAGTAGTAGTAGTAGTAGTAGTAGTAGTAGTAGTAGTAGTAGTAGTAGTAGTAGTAGTAGTAGTAGTAGTAGCAGTAGCAGTAGCAGTAGCAGTAGCAGTAGCAGTAGTAGTAGTAGTAGTAGGAGGAGGAGTAGGAGTAGGAGTAGGAGTAGGAGTAGGAGTAGGAGTAGGAGTAGGAGTAGGAGTAGGAGTAGGAGTAGGAGTAGGAGTAGGAGTAGGAGTAGTGGTAGTAGTAGTAGTAGTAGTAGTAGTAGTAGTAGTAGTAGCTGTTGCGCGGCGGGTGCCTTGGAACAAAAACAATTGTTAGCTCGTATTGGTGGAACCCCCTTCCTTCAATAAGGCCGCCGAAAAAATGATTAGTTACCCCCTATTTGGCGGAGGGGGGCGTTCTAAAGATTTCTCAGGGTTATCAGAAGGCGATGGGGGTTTCGCAGATGCCCCTGTGGCCTTGTGATAAGAGGGCCCTCCTGGCAAGGGGCCCTCCTGAGAAGATGGCCCTCCCATCGTCTTCTGATGAGAGGGCCTTCCCATCGCGAAGCCAGGGGCCTTCTCAGAGGAGCCCTCCTGGCCTCCCAGGAGGCTCCCGCGAAGCCGGGAAGGTTTCCAAGAGGGCCCCGGCCTGCTCGGAGGCGTTCCCGCCTCCCCGCCAGAGCCCCGACGCCGTGCTCTGTTTCGCCACGCGGTGGACCCCCGGAGGGCTCGACCCGCTCCCCGGGGGCTGGCTTTTCGTCTTGGGTCGTCTCTGGGCGGCCCCTGGGCCTGGCGAGGCCCCGCAGCGGCAGAGACTCGCTGCCAAACACCGCCCGTTCTGATGCGCGTCACGACGCACTGGGGGTCCTGAGTAAGGAGTGCGCGAGGACGGTTAAAAAAATGACCGGGAGTCGTGCTCACGCGGCTGGGAAATGGTTTGGTCAATCATTCCCCCCCGCCTTCCTCGGGCGCGCGCCTGGACAGTCGACGGGCCAGACGGAGCCGAAGCGAAGCGGAAGCCAAATATTCAGACATTATTTTGCTAGTCACTCCCACCAAATTCTTTGACATCACCGTCGAGCATCTGATTGAGCAAGCTCCTGAAAAGTTGGGCCAACGTTTCGTAATCAACTTGCTGGAAATCTGGCCCAGCTTCTAAGCACGTTCGCCCCTCCAGCGTCAACAAAAAAACGCTGGTCCAGCTTTGTTTGAAGATGAACGTTCGGAAAAAACTGTCCCAGGTTCTTCGAAGCCTGCTCTTCTGGATCCTCATGTGTGGTTTTCGTCAGCGCCCTCCGCCTCCTCCCGTCCTCCGCGGCCGCCCTGTCTCTCTCGCTCCACCCTCTCGCAGGGCGGCCAATTCGCGCATGGGTCGCCCCGATCGCACCCGCCGGAGCAGCACTTCTGCCCCGCCGCCGACGTAGAAAATTCAAGGGGCCCCGGGCACACAAATCAATACATACAAATCACAGGATTCCCAATATTTTTGCACATCTTCTGGTTTTTTTTTTGTCTTCCCCCCCCACTTCCCATATTTTTCTACATTTTCTTCGGAATCGACGATTCACTGTGTCTGTGTATTTCTTCCCTCCCGAAAAATGTTCGGCCGTGGTCGTCGTCTTGCGCCGGCAGGCCGCCCCCCCCCTCGCGCCACCCCCGGCTGGGGGCGGCGCCGCACCAGTGCGGGTATAGCCAGGACCCCGGGTAAGGGGACCCGGTTAGTGGTAGGGCCCTGGGGCCCTTCAATTGGCCAGATTCAGTAAACCAGGTCTGCCGTAATTGGTGTTCTTCGGGAGACGGCAGTTCCAGTTAGTGGAAATGGGGCGGGGGGGCGCCCCCGGTACAAATCACTAAACCAGGTTCCACTAAACCCAGTTCTACCAACGCCCGACATTGGTGGTCAGGGTATCCGTGAGGCAGAGGAGGAGTGGTAGTGCTTCGCTCGGCACCTGCAGGTTGCTGTTCGCGTCTGTCGCCTGCAGGATGAAGGAGACTCGATCGTGGGCCTTCGAGTGCGTCGCCTGCCGTTCTGCTTCCTGTAGGTACTCCAGATTCCGTAATAAAGGGAGGGGGGTCTCATTTCGGGGGTGGTCTCTTCCAGGCTATCTTGGAGGGCCTGGGGGGGTCTGGGGACGATGTTTTGGAGGCTTCTCCCACGGGGGAGGCCTGAAACGGCTTGTCTTGGAGGGTCCAGACCCCCTACGTTTTTTATTACGACATCTGGAGTATGCACGCTTGTAGACCTGGTCGGTGAGACCCCTTTGGACCATGCTCGAGGCTGCCCATGCCGGCGCCGTCGGGCCCCGTCTGTGCGGGCGCCCGCCCACGCCCGAGCCCAGGCGACGTGCGGGCACGCCGCCGGGGCGCCGCCCCGGGCGTGCTGCGAGCCGCCCGCCTGAGCGCGGCCCGCGGGGGGGGGGGTCAGAGGCCAGCAGCATATGCACACGTACGCGGCTAGCTTCCCCTGGAATGCGTGTCAACGCGGACGTTCGTGCAGGCAAGACTGCGGAGGGTGTACATGTACATATGTCGTTGCTCGCCCAGGGGGGGGCCTCGGCCGCCCGGCGGCGGGCCGCGCGGGCGGATCGGAGGCGAGCGAGGGGGGGGAGATGGGAAGGAGGAGGCCTTCTCAGAAGGCGGCGGGACTTCTCAGAAGGCCTCCGGCCTTCTGAGAAGTTCTGTTCTGTCCTCGGGGAAGGCTCGGAGAACTTCTCGGGAGTCCCGGGAACTTCCGAGCCTTCTGAGAAGGTCTTCTCCTTCTCACTTCCCTCCTGGGCGCGCCGCCTAGCGGAGGGGCGCGGCATCGCTACGGGGCCACATTCGGAGGAGGAAGAGGTACCCATGCCTCTACCCTTCGCCCGTTTTCCCCCTTTCTTGGGCCTCCTCGGAGGCCCTCGTTGCCACCGCTGGATTCGCCTCGAAGTCCTGGTCAGAACGCACCTCGGGAGAGGTCCGGGGAGTAGCGGTATAGGTACTTTTTTGTCTCCCCATACATGTGAACCCTACCCCTACCCCCTACGATTTCTGAGGGGAGGGTGTGGTTCACTTCGCTCGGGAGCTCCCGAGCGAGGTGAACCCCACCCTCCCCCTCAGAAATCGTGGGGGGCAGGGGTAGGGTTCGCATGTGGCCCTCTAATCGCGGTGCCACCTCTGGGCCGCTCGTGGGACTCGAGGGAGAACAGATGGCGTGTGCATGGTCGGTAGCAGGTCCTGGGAGCCCGCCATGTGCCCTCTGAGTCCCGTCTGCGGCGTCGACTCGCGTCGATTAGCGTCTGGGAGTCGATGGGACAGCGCCGATTTAGCGTTGGCTAGTGTAGACCAGGGTCGACTTAGCGTCGACCAGTGTCGACTGGCGTCGATTCGCAAGAGCCGACGAGATAGTCTGGAAGGCTCCCGTGAATTGCCACCGAAGGCATGCTGTCGGAGCTCCGAGCACACTGCTTGGATCGGCGCTGGGGGCGCGCTCCCCTGGCGCGCTCCGCGCGCCAGGGGGAGGGGTCCGGTGCCGATCCAAGAGATCCGCGCCAGTCTCCGGAACTTTCAATCCAGGCGTCGCCGCAGTCTTTCAGGAGGGAAAAAGGCACACACAGACACAATTAATCGTCGATTCCCCAGAAAATATGGGAAAATATGGGAAGTGGGGGGGAAGACAGAAACCCAGAAAATATGGGAAAATATGGGGAATCCTTTTATTTGTGTGTATTTATTTGTGTGTCCCAGGGCCCCTTCAGTCTTCCCGTCTCCCGAGGTGGGGCATTCGCAGGGCAGGTGTTTCCTGGAGGGGCACAGTGTCCCTCGGTGGTTGGTAGGTGACCTCGCGAGTCGGCGTGCTCGGGGCGACCTTGCACGAAGCCGGTTGCAGGTTGCAGGCGCACGCCTGACCACAGCACTGCAGAAGGCAGTCGAGGCCGAATCTTGCTATCAAGTCCCAGCTGGTCGATATGTCCAGGTACCACGCGGACTCGACCTGCGTGCTGCTTCGATCTAGGCTGTTCGGATTAGCCTGTGGGACTGCTTTTCCGACGGTGTTGCGTACATCTACTCTGCCAAATAGCAACAAGTTTTTGTGCACGTATCTTGACACTACGTGCATCTTCTACGTTTTCCGGGGGCCGGGTCAGAACGTCTCGGCCTGCCAGCTGGATGCATGAGTTAGGCCGCACTCGAGTCGTCGACAGTTCAAACAGACCTTCAGGCATCCATGCGAGCACTAGCCTGCACCAAAGGTCGTAGGTCCAGCGGACCAGAGGAACCAGCCAAGGTTTAAGTCGGGCCTGTCCCCCTACAAGGGGATGTTCGACGACAAAATAAAACATACCCCGGAAATAGTTAAAAAATAGTTCAAAAATAGTCTTGGGATAATTCTTTTAGTAGTTTTTGACATTTTGGGGTGTTTTTTTTGGGGGTACTTTTAATTTTTCCTCGAAAATCCCCTTGTAGGGGGACAGGCCCGACTTAAGCCAAGGTGTCTCGAGATCTCCCGAGGCCCTACAAGCCACGAGCTCCCCCCTCCCACCCGGAGGCCCCCCGAAGTTTCCCGAACGTCCCCGGGAGTCCTCCGAAGGCCCCTGGAGCCCTGCTGTGCCCCCCGAAAGGCCCAAACTTGCCCGTCGTGACCATTGGCTAACATGATGTTGCGCGCGCGCTTTTTTTTTTTTCTCTCTCTCTCTCTCTCTGTATCATGGATATCCGTCACACACACACACTCTCTCTCTTTTTTTTTCTCTCTCTCTCTCTCTCCATATATATATATGTATATATGTCTACATATATATATATATATTCACATGTATCGATGTCCTTCTCTCTCTCTCTCTTTCCCTCGCTATATGTCCCATACCTCTCTGTTGGTCTCTCTCTCTCCCTCTCGCTCGACTCGGGCACCCTCGCAGAGGGGCCAGCCACGAGGCACAGTGAGGCGCGTGCCAGCTGTCGGACTGGCCCGCTTTTTACAAAGAGCCGCGCCTCCCAGGTCGCACCAGGAGAGGGGCCTCGCCACCGATGAATCGTGGGAGCGACCTCTCCTCCAGGCGCGTCGCGCCGGCGGCGGACTCAACTTTTAAGCTCGGGGCTGAAGAGACGGGGGTCAATGCAAACGGGGGTCAGTCAGAACGCAGGACCTTGCAGGACCCTGCAGAGCCAGGGATGCATTGACCCGGGCTTGGGTACGGGATCCTTCAGGATCCTCCAGGATCTTGTAGGATCTTGCGAAGCCCAGGTTTGCATTTATCCCGGTCAGTGCGTCCCCGATAAGCCACTCCCGACAGCGGCTCTGCTGGCATGCGAGTCGGGTACAAGATCCCAGAGGAAAAAAGCGGCGCCAACATAAGCCAGCGCTGAATTGTATGAGAATGTGGAGGAATATCGGCACAAACGCACACAAACGAAAGCCCACAGCTGTGGGGACCGCAGGGGAAGGGGACAGTCCAGCAGATACGGACACATGTGGGGAGTTCTGAAATCTATGCCGATTCACCCGTGTCCTCCCCAGGCCTCTTCGCAGAGGCATTTTTCGCCATCGTGCCCGGGCCTCTGCGTTCTACTCCTGGACCTCCGACGCCCCTCGTTCTGCCCAGCGCGTCGGGTCCGGAGCTCTCGAGCCCGTCCCTCTCACGGGTGTTGCCGCGCGGGCTCGGGGGCATCGAGGGGGGTACTCCAGAGGCCCTGTGCCGAGGACAGGCAGGGTCCGTGCAGCAGCTGTCCGGGGGCGCCGGAGGTCCAGGTCGTGGCCTGGCCTTGCAGGCTATGTACGATAGCGGCTTGCAGATTGGCACGCTCCTGCCATGCGTTTGGTGATTGGCTGGCTGCTTTACTTGGCCCGCCCTTGGATCTGCGATTCCCCCCAAAAACTTGGTGGACCCTTCATCCCATGGCCACAGTCATCTCATCCGTCTCCATATTCATTCCTTCTCCCCTCTTCTTGATCCTCCCTCCTCGATCCTCTTCTCCCGCTTCCTACTCTTGCCTTCTTCATGTTACACTCCCCATCCCTTGTGTGCATCCTCTCCTCCTCTTCCTCTTCCTCCCCTCTCTCCCTCCGCCAACTCTCTTTTCTGTCTCCCATCAGCCTCCCTTCTCTCCCCTCTCGCCCTCGTGCTCCTGCCTCCTGCTGCATCGCTGCCCCTCTCCACCTCAGCCCCCGCCTCCTCATTCACTGGTTATTAGTTATTGTGAAGGCCTTGCGGCAGGTGCCGCCCACCCAGAAGGACGACGACCACGACGAGGACCACGACGACCACGACGGCGACGAGCCGATAATCAAGCCTGCCATGCGCTCCGGCCTCCTGCTCCCCGTGCCCGTCGTCCCTCTCCACCGCGGCAGCCGCCTCCTCATTCACAGGACAGTTCCTCCCCAGGTCCTCCCCAGATCCTCCCCAGATCCTCCCCAGATCCTCCCCAGATCCTCCCCAGATCCCTAGTCCTCCCTAGTCCTCCCCAGATCCTCCCCAGATCTCCGTGGACCTGTGCGGAGGCCTGCGGAGGTCCGGGGAGCCCCCCCCCCCAGAGGTCTCGGCAGGCCGGACATCTATGGAACACGTCGTGCGAGCGTGCTTGCCAACGCGGGCCCCAAGCAGTTCGACGTTGCACGTTGTATGTGGAGGCTATGTAGTGTGATCGAGTGTGTGTGTGTGTGTGTTTGAGCTGTGAGATGGAAGCTTCGTGGGCGCTATATGGTGCGAGTTATGTGGTGCAAGATTGGTGGCGCAATATCGCATATGCGGTGTACGCTACGTGGTGAAAGGTTTGCGGTGCAATCTAAGTCGCACGATCATGTTTCAGCGCATTATCTGTGGTGTGAGCTATGTTGTGCAGGGTATGTGGTGCAATGCACGTGGGGTGAGCCATGATCTGTGTAAGCTACGTGGCGCACTAGGTGCAAATCTATGTGGTGCAGACAGTGCTGTGACAGCTATACAGTGGACGCACGGTGCGCTCACAAAGCGCCAACGAGGGGCAGCGTGGCGAAGCTTCGCGCACCCACCCAGCGCACGAGGCGCAAACAGGGCGCCCACGAGGCGCTCACAGGCGGCAGCGTGGTGAAACCTGAGCGGGCCCATGCAATGCCTCGAGGGCAGATGCGAGATCCTCTAAGTGCAGTGCAAGCGCTGGCTTGGGAAAAAGAGCGACGCCCTTGCGGCAGAACACCCGCCGAACAGCTTTACGCAGTTGCGCGGAGGGGGGCCACGCCACCGTGGGCCACCGATTTCGGGGGCCTGGGCTCTCGCCGTGGGCTAGAAGGAGCACAGAGAACTCGCTACAGATCTCTTGCAGACAAGCTGCTTAGAGAACCCTTTCGAGAACTCTTCAGAGAACTCTTCAGAGACCTCGATGCTCGATGCTCCCGCCCCTTTGGCTGCCCCTCCCCGTCCACCCTCCACCACGTCCTTCCCTCCCGCGT